GTGTTACACTAAATCAACTTTTTCAAACTTTATATCATTTTATAATATCATTCACTCATCAAAAACATACCCAGAGTGTTGCTTTGACTCATTCATGCATGTTTGAGAAATCCTTGAACCTCTGGTTGTCAAGTGGAGCTGCCTAAATGCTTCCTGGTACAAAAGCTCCGCCTATTTACGCTGTAGCTCAGTCTGCAGCTTAGCTCCTCCCATACAGAACTCCCCTCGTCCGAAGCATTGTTGTGAAGGCGTGCCGAAGTGGGAGTGTCAGAAATGGTAGGAGGTTCTTAAAGAAACAGAGACCAAATTCAAGACGTTCAGATAGACTATGATGCAAAGTCTAATTTAGTTTTAATATATACTGCATTTTCWTAACAACTGCAGGTAACATAGTTATTTGATTGTGGTATATAATTGAACTATGTGTCTGGAAGATACATAATACCCCCCTGTTTTATCTGGACCTTGTTTTTTCCTCTGTCCTCCTTCCTTACACAGTCTGTGAGTYTGAACTCTCCAGCTGTGATTTACTTCTCTCAGGTCACCATGTGTGACCTGTTTGTGTCTGAGGTGTGAGTTGTCTGGTCTAAGCAGCAGAAGCATGTCTGATCCTGGCTGGAGCCGTTTAATATAAGAGCTCCAAATAACACCTCCAGCCTTGTGTTTACCTGCTCTCACAAGCAGACTCATCCTTTCAGCTGTATATGACTTAAAATTGGCTTGTTTGTTTTTTTTTCTTTTTTTTTTCCTTCAAAGACCCAGGAGGGCTCTTAGCTTGCAACCTCAATAAGTATGACCCAAGCTGGCCTTATTGCTCCCGGGACCKCTCCTTTCTTTACAATATATTTTCAATTTATTCTACTGCCACAGACAGAAGCCTGTTTGTTCTCAAGTGGCTTTATATAATATTTGAATAAAGATGTCTGTGACCTAGACAGACAGAAAACAATCAGTTTAAAAAAAGATAGAAAAGAAACTAAAGGACTTTTCTAAATAAATAATAAAAAAATTATATGTTTTGATTGTTACAGCAGGGGGCTTCACCCACGGTTCAGTCATTTCTGCACCCTGCACCTTTTTGGTTCTGTGAATCAGCCCCTGTGGACAACTCCACAT